GGCCTCCTCCCCGGGGCCTCCTCCCCAGCCGGCCTCCTCCCTCCCGGCCCTCCTCCGGGCAGGCGGGTTGGCGGAGGGGGGGTGGGCAGAGCAACCCGCGGGCTTCGGGGTTCTCGTAAACGAAGTCTGGTTCCTAGAATTGCGGGATGAAGTGAGAGTTAGTAGTGTAAGGTTAGCCCAGAGTTAGCTGGCGTTCTTCACCCTGCAGCATAACTGTAGTTTTATTTTCCTTAAGATTGTGCCAATGGAAGGAATCAGCAATTTCAAGACACCAAGCAAATTATCTGAAAGAAAGAAATCTGGTAAGATGGCAGATTGTTGTTGCTACTAGAAATGCTTAGCATTTTGTTTTGTAATTTTTTTAAACAAATGTTTCGTGTATTTAGGCATATGTCACCTTTATAATGTTAATTTTAACCAGTAGGACTAATTGACTAGGACATAGTTTGTTATCCATGGGCTAATTTTACTGGCGTTCTTAGGATCTGGAGGTTCTGCCTGGTAAAAAAATCAACCTCCCTTTAACCACGTAGGGATTGCTTTGATTTTACTCCTCCCTATATCCATTGCTCTGAGGTAAAGATGTTTTCTAAGTCCACTCAATGCACAAAAAGAAAACCTTTAGATATCCATGTATAGACAGTGAACCTTTACTCTTACATCAGATACAAAATGGCTGAAATTAGAAAATTTCCAGACATTATCATAGAAAAATCTTATATTTACTCATTCTATTAGCTTGTGTGTGTGTGTCTGTGTGTGTGTGTGTGGGCGTACGCGTGTACGTTGCGTGTGCACGCATTGGTACTGGGGCTTTTGCCCTCAGAGCCTTGAGCTCTTGCTTAGCTTGCAGATTATTTTGCTCATGGCTGGTGCTCTACTTCTGGCCTTTTTTTCTCCCAGCTGGAGCTTGAACTCAAGGCTTTAATGCTGTCCCTGAGCTTCTCTTGCTCAAGGCTAGCACTTTACCACTTGAGCCACAGTGCCACTTCCAGCCTTTTCTGAATACTTTATTGGAGATAAAAGTCTCACAGACTTTCTTACCCCAGCTGGCTTTGAACTGCCTTCAGAGCTCAGCCTTCTGAGTAGCTAGGATTACAGGCATGAGCCACCAGCCCCTGGCTGTGTTTTGCTTTTTAACTGGAGATAAGAGTCTCATAGACTTTCCTACCCCAGCCATGGTCCTTAGCTTCTTAGCCTCCTGAGTAGCTGAGGTAGGTGGTTGACTACAGACAGGAGCCACCTGTGCCCAGCAACATTAAAAAAAACAAAAATTCTTTACAATGTTATATATTGGTAACATGTAGATGAAAACATTTAATTTTTCCCCCCTCAACCTATACTTTTTTCCTTACCACACTGTGTTCAGCATATTTTTAAGTAGAAGTGTATGTGGACACACTGTACTTGCCTTGTACCCAGTACAGTGTATTACATGTAGGTTTTTCACAGATCTTTAACAGTTTGGACAATTTTCCTTTTGTCCTTATTCTTGGGATGTTGAATTTTGTGAAGTGATTTTTCTTAATCTGTTGCCATAAGTTTGTCTAATCTTATCACTTTTGCAAATTATGTTAATGAAAATTAACACAGTATCAAAAAAACCTTTCTTATGGAACTTTAACAAATGAAAAATATAGTGATTAAGAATAACATCTCAGGGGCTGGGAAAGTAGCTCAGCAGTAGAGTGCATGCCTTGCAAGCATGAGGCCCTGGGTTCCATTCCTCAGCACCACATAAACAGAAAAAGCTGGAAGTGGCTCTGTGGCTCCAGTGGTAGAGCGCTAGCCTTGAGCTGAAGAGCTGAGGGACAGCACCCAGACCCAGAGTTCAGGCCCCATGACCAGCAAAAAAAAAAAAAAAAAAAAGAATAAC